AAACCCTAACCCCTTAAACCCTTAACCCTTAAAGCCTAAAGCTGTAAACCAGAAGCCCTAAACCCCAATGCTGCGAGGGAACGGCGAGCGGCTCACGGCATTGAAGGAGCCTGGCCGGCAAAAAAGGGGAGGGTTTCCCTCGGTTTCAATTCCAATCACGGCCCAGCTGGCTGATGGCGATGGTGATTACTATGACGGTGATGATGATGACAATGATGATGCAGATTATGATGGTGATGATGATGATGATGGTGATTTACGACTTTGGGGTTGGTCTTTCGGCGTTGCAGGGTTTCGGGGGTACAAGTATAGGGCTTAGGGGCCCAGGCGGGCTTAGGTATCTCGTTCCACAGACATGCTTCACAACTTTCAGTGTACTTGGACGAGGCAAAGGGTTGCAAAGGTTGCGTCTGGGCTTCCTAGAAGGTTTACCCTTTACCCTAAACCCTAAACCCCTAAAGCCCTAAACCCCAAACCCGAAACCCCTAAACCCTAAAGCCTAAACCCCTAAACCCTAGACCCTAAACCCTCAACCCTAAACTGTGCAGGCTAGTTTATGGCTTGGAGCATCGCGACCAGGATGGCTTCACATCTCGGGGTATTAGGACTCAACTCCCTATAGCCCTGCAGGGTAACTTCGCTGAACCCCAAAACCCACCTGAAACTTGGGGTTTAGGGTTTAAGGCTCAGGGAGTAGGGTCCAGGGGCCCTAAACTTCTGACCCCAAAAACCCTGAAGCTCTGAGATCTGAACATCGGCGTCCGTTGGGTTAAGCAGCTCCCAACTGGTGTTCTGTGGTCGCGACTACTACACTCCGTAATGTACTTATTCCTGTTTATCTTGACGTGTTGCGCTGGTGCATCTCTTTATGGTATCGCGCGGCCTACCCCCGAATTCATGGAGGTCTAGTCTAGTGGCCTTGTCGTTGCTCGGAGTATATAGGTGCTTGAGTAAGTGGCTCATACACGTGGTCAGTTGTTGTAATCAGGATGGAACCAACGGGTTTAGGGTTTCGGGTATTTGGGGTTTCGGGTTTAGGGTATTTAGGGTTTAGGGTTACTCATGGTTTTTGTATCGGGTTCTTATGGGGCTTATAAGGTCTTTATCAGGGCTTTTCGGGAATGACCCTGTAGGGTTTGTATACGGGTAATAGTTAAGGGTGTTGCAATGCTTTTCCATGGCTGTGAGGGCTTTACTTGAGATCTAGAGGGATCCTTATCTGCCTAAGCCTCAACCCCTAAACTCCAAACCATAAACCCCTAAACCCCTAAACCCCTAAACCCTAAACCCTAAATCGGTGGGTTTTGGAGTTTCTTGGTTGGCAGTTTGTCAGGGTTCCGGCTGCCTAGGGGTCGGGGTTCAGGGCTCCAAAGGCATTGGGGTTTAGGGCTCAAGGGCTTAGAATCTGAGGCTCAACAGGCTTTGCGGTTTAACGGTTTAGGGTTTAGGGTTTAGGGCTTTTTAGGGTTTAGGATTAGGGTTTAAGGGCATAGGGTGCAGGGCTCAACAGTGTTTGGGGTTTAGGGTTCCGGGTCTACGACTTGAGGGTCCCGGCCCTAAACCCTCAACCCCCAAATCGCTCAAGCACGAAGCTTTCCGACACAAGGCGCCGAACGCGCGCATGAAGACGGCAGTGGAGCTGCCCCTTGAGTTGTTCATAGTGGTTTGGGGTTTTCTGTTGTGGGTTCAGGGTTTTGGGGTTTAGGGTTTGGGTAGGGTTGCCATATCGATGTCATAGGTATCAAGACAGCGATTCCCATTGTCTTGAGTGGTTCTGCTGTGCATGATGCCTGCTACCTGGAGGCACCAAAACTCCTCAATTCAGAACATATCTTGGATTCACATCAGGCTCCCTGTATGGTTTAAGGAATGTTCCTTCGTAAGGGGTCTGGGATTCTCTGTCTACGTGTGGTTTTGGCTTTTCAGCATCGTAGTGAGCAGGGCTTTAGCGGCCGTATTGCTGTTGAAACGAACTCGGGCTGGGCACAATGACAGAAGCAGATTAGGATTTTGGGTTCCGTGTGTGGAGGCTGGTTTGGATTTAGGTCTCTGCCGTAACTTCAGTATTTGCAGAGTGGGGTTCTAGCAGCCCTGAGCCCGAAACCCTGAACCCTAAAACCCAAACGGCCCAAACCCGAAGCTGTTGCTACCAGCATGCCGTCTCACAATGCAGGCGCGCTGCAGAAGGTCGGCGTTAAGGTTTATTCTTGTGATTAGTCTCAGTGGTACTGGCAGAAGGAGTAGTAGTAGGAATATGGACCTAGCAAACCAGTAGGAGCAGAAGTCGTAGTCGTCCTCCTCGGAGTAGAGGCGTGGTAGTGGCAGTGGTACTAACAGTAGACATAACCATAGGCATGAATCATAACCATATTAATCATAGTATAAGAACAGTGGTGGACTATAGCAGTCATATTCATAGTAATCAAAGGACTACAGTAGCCCTAACCCTATAGGCCCTACACCCTGGTAAGAGCCATAGCAGTCAAAAAGCAGCATCTTTTGATAGCGGCGAGGCTGAGATCCCGAGAAAACCCCCAGCCCCTCGACACCCTGCAGGCCCGAACCCCTAACCCCCCACAGAGAGTTTTGGGTTTAGGGTTTAGCGAAACCCTCAAACCCTAATCCCTAAACCTTAAACCCTAAACCCTAAACCTTAAACCCTAAACCCCAAACCCGAAATCCTAATCACCGGAAGCGAA